TGCTGCTAGCTTCAAAATAAAGCTGTCAGTCTAATTACAGGCATGTAAAATTAGAAAGCTGCTATTGTATTGCCAACTGTAACATGCCCAGATCAAAAGCTGTGAAAATTTTTCTCACTGGCATTCAAGACAGTACTTTGAATTGTAACAGTATGTATATATATGTATGTATTTATGTCTTCCTCCATGAAATTTAACAAATGCCTTTTCAACTCAAATGCAGCCTCTACATGTTTTTATTATCTCAGACTTGACTCATGCAAAAAACTTAGATTATCACTAATGTAAACATTCTGAAGTGGAGAAAGATGAAAGAGAAGTCCGAGACATATTTGTAAAAAGTGAATTTCCATATTTGATTGCCTTCCAAGTCAACTAATTGAAGCACATGAGGCTCTATTTTTAACTGGCAATGGTTCTTTTGGTTAAAGGTACAGGTTTATTCAAGAGGATATCAAATTCCTAAGATTGTTTTATTGCTTAGGAAGGACAGCAAGAGCTGAGAGAAGCCCACCAAACGTTTTCAGAAACACACATAACGTACTTTCTTCTCTGATTTTATCTTTGTAAAATAACTGTTTAGCTACAGTAGATGTTAATTTCTCAAAATGCATACAGATATATTTACAGATTTAATTAAAATGATGGACAAGTCACAGAGCAACTGGAAAAGAAAGTCTGGCAGTTTCTGCCCTTCCTTTTGGGATTCTGAGTATCAGGTAGTCTGCTTCATCCTCACAGAGCTGCCAGTATCGAGCAAGGGAGGCTACACCTCTAAGTCACTCAGGAAAGAGTGTTGACAACAGAAGCAGGGTTTGCTTCATGTGAGACAGTCAACTTGATCACCCTTGGCCCTCTGTGCCAAAGACTATATTTGTGTTCTGAGAAATGAAATAATCATGCTGTATTGTGGTGTGTCATATAATTTCAGTAGTTCAACTATTAATTCACTTGAAGCAAGGCTTAGCCAGTAAATTATTGCAAAAGAAATAAAAAATATGGCAGAAAATAACAGATAAGTGACTGATGTTATGGCCTTTCTGTCTAGCTTTCTTAAAGTAGTAGGACTAAGAAAAGAAACCTTAGATAGAAAATAACAATTTTCGAGTCGTATTTTAGTCTAAACAGAAATTCTGCTGTTATTTTCTGCCCCCACCTTGATAACTCTTTTTTTTTCTTTTTTAAATGATTTTTGAATAAATCTCACATATCCCGACCTCCTTCTTTACTTCCTCCTCCTATATCACCATCTCTTCCTCACTGCCCATCTGGATCCATCCATCTTTCATAGACTACCTTAAGTTTTACCTCCACTTTGAACTTTTCTAAATTAATTCAGTTCCCAAGGATCTCCTTGTCTTCTGACTTTACTGCCATGAGTTTACTGGTAAATTATGATGACTTGCCTTTCTCAAGACAAGTTTGCTATTCATGGTTTAGTCACTAAGCTGGGTCTGACTCTAGCAATCCCATGGACTGTAATCCACCAGGCTCCTCTGTCCATGGGATTCTCTAGGCAACAGTACCGGAGTAGGTTGCCATTTCCTTCTCTAGAGGATCTATCCAACCCAGGGATCAAACCCAGGGCTCCTTCATTGCAGGCAGATTCTTTACTGACTAAGCTGTAAGGGAAGCCCTATATTCTGATTGCTATTCAGAATATGGTGTAAATGCTTGTGTAGTAGATCTCTAGGTGACTTGCAAACTGGAAGCATCTCTTCTTTGTATCACTTAAAGCAGCAGCTTTCAGACTTTTTCAAACGATGCATGATATGATATCCATTTTACCATAGTCCACATATACTGTTACAAGAACAATATTTATTCACCCTTCTATTGTTTTACTCTATTTTGTACTTTGAAAATAAAAATGCTATCAGATCCAGTAAACTGACCTCACAGTGGGTTGTGACCAGTTGATTACTCTGGGACTGCTATATATATTTCCTTTACTTAAAAAAAATTACAATTATCTGTCGCCATTGGCCTCTGACTTTTCTAGCATTACTTTTTTTTTTTTTTTTGCCTTTTGGAGTCATCTGGGACAATTAAATGCTTGGAATATATAGTATTTTCCATTCTTTTGCCCTGAGCACTGCTGGTCAAAAGATAAGATTCCCTGAGTTTCTGTAAAACTCAAATCTCCATTCCCTCATTCTCTTTTATTTTCACAATATGCACAGTAGGTGGTAGACATTTCGTGGATGAAGAAATTTAGGCACAGAGAATTCTGACTTTCTTAATGACATATCTCTCTTTTAATCAGGCTATTATAAATTCAGGTAAATATGGTTTCTAGACATTTAAAGGAGATAAACTTGGGTAATGTGAACAACACAGAGCCTCAGTATGAATGTATTTACCTAACTTGTCTGGATCAAATGAGTTAACAGCTCTTCTGGACTTCAGTTTGAAGATGTATCCACTTCCTTCTCTATCCCCATCTTTCCATCTTCATCTCCGCAGTTTTTCAGCCGCCTAGAACTACGTGTTCTTCTTCAACCTCTGTATATTTTGGTCCCTATACAAGGATTGCCCTTCTTTGTCCTCTTTACCAGGCTAGTTCCTCATCCTTCAAATCCCTGGGAACTGTCCTTACTCCTCTCCTCTCCCACAATGTGACTTTCATAGCACCCTGTGCTCTCCCCATCAAGCACTGAACTAGCTCTTCCTCCCTCTGTCCCGAGTTTTACAGGCTGAGACTCTTCTATTCTACAATCTAGGGCCATGTTGAATTCAGGATAAAAATATAGAGAAGGCATAAATGAATCAACAAGTGACCACATAAAGAATGGCCACTGAAAAAGCTTGAGTGTGATCTGGGACTGGAATTGTGTGTCTTGACCCTCCAAGGCCAATCATTCATGACTTTATTACTCTATGACCATGATTTTAGTGTTTCCCTGAAGGGTGCAGATTTTGTGACTGGAAATTCATAAAGTGAAGGATATCTGTGTCTAGTATATTCTTTCAACTTTATTTAGGGCACAAACAATGGTATTTGGAAGGGACAAATAATTTAGTATATTGGGCAAGTGTACTGAGGCAATTTAAAAAAATCACTCGGATTTTAAAACTGCTGGTTGGAACCCACCCTGGGGGTTCTGACCATGCCTCAGATCTCCATTTCCCACATGAAGCTATGCACTTGCGATTTTGTCCTCATCATTTTCATTAGTCTAGTTAGTGATTAGGTGAAGTCTCACACATACATTCTGCATGGATCTTTATAAGTTCCTTTGCACTATTTCCAGAATAAATTCCAGTGATATAATATCTAGGCTTGCCATGGCAATTACTAATTTTTTTCTGTTTATGAATCAACAACCTACCCCCCACCCTGCCAACAAACTAAAAGCAGGAAAGCTCTTGAAAAATGTTCTTTGCAATCCTATTTGAAAAGAAGATTCCCTAATACAAACTCCTGCCATTCCCAGATAGCAACAGAGAAGATTTTCTTCTTTATGCTGTGACTCATGTATCTTTATTCCCACAGCTGCTACTTAGGGCAGGCCAGTGGTGAACACAATGGAAAAGAAAGAAGAGTTTATAACTGGAAAATAAGCACATTCAGAAGAAGTACACTCAAAGCATTATCAAAGTAAAATATGCAGCAGTACCAACAAGAGCAAACAAAAGCCCACGCAAGAGATGTGTAAATATTTCATGAAGCTAAAGCCTTAATCAACTCTCTCTCTAAATCTTGCTGGTGTTGTAAACACTTCAGTTTCCTCCAGTCCCACCATGACCCAGATTCTTTGCAAAAACAAAATGAAAACATGATCCAATGGATCTTTAACAAATGTGGTGTGAAAAATATTTATTAATAGATAGAGCATATCCAAGGTATTGCCTTAACAGGAAGAAGAGGATACCTTAATAAAGGTGGTTGCTTCTTGATGACTTTCAGAGCTTCCTTTCTCCCCTCCCCCTCCAAACCTTTTCCCCACTACCTATGCTGCTCTCAGGACATTTACATCATCTTAACCTTGAACTACCTACACCCCAAGCCAAGATTTCTCCCAAGGCCCCTCTAAAAAGCACGTTAAACCTGACCAGACTTTGCTGCCTTCCTACCAGCCAAAATCACTTTCCAGTGTCTAAATTCTTCCCCCCTCTTTTTTCCCCCACTCTTTCACTGTCCATTGTTGCGTCTGAAATTTTGCCTGTATCTTTTCGATCTGCCTGGATGGCGTAGGGATCTTTTGTGTGTATTGGTTGACAGTGTTTTTCAGTGATTTCTTTTCTAAAATCCATCTCCAAAGAGCTGTTTATAGCCTCTAGTCTACCCGGATTTAATGTGGTTCCAAAGTTCACCTCTAGATACTGAACAGGTCTCTACAATGATTTCCCTTTATCAACCTCTGCCTGCCCTTCTCTCTCTGCCTATCTCAAGAAAAACTATATATGTAATGTGTGTATACACACGCATACAAACGCATGTATATTATATATAACGATAGTATGCTGACCTTAAACGGAGTAAGTGTAGGAAAATGAGAAAAATGCCTGGGTAGTATTGCCACACACACACACACACACACACACGCACGCACGAAACCCTATTTGGATATTCACAGTATGCAGACCTGATTGCAAACCCCTTCTCCCAAGAATAAGAACAACAGGCGTCTTCGCCGGTTTACCTTCAAAGCCAAAGCTTAAGGGAGCAATGACCTTGCCGAGAAATTCATCACCTACGAGAAAGGCTGCCCCTCCTGTAGCTCAGGACGGGATGGAAACGAGAGCAACAGGCAAAAAGGATCACCTGGCAAAATGTGGGACCGAATCCATCCCCCATCAGTACCGACCACAGCGCAAAGCTGTGGTCTCCCAGGGTTCAAGATGGGCAGAGGTGGCGCGGGGGGCGTCTCCTCCCGCGGCCGCCGGTCACCTACCTGCTGTTGCCCGGCTCTCTCCGGCGTGGCGGGGCCGCTGCCTGCGCTTTGGCGAGGGCTTCCCGTCGCATATCACACGCAGCGGCTCCCGGCGCCCCACCGATGCCTCAGCGGGCTCGGGAGTGGCGGTCCTTTTCAGACCTGTTCCGGGAGGGAGCCGGGTGCAGGCAGGAACTGAAATTACTATGCAAAGAGCAGAGGCGGCGCGCAGGAGCCGGGCGGAGACCGCGGGGGCCACCCCCCACTCCCGGACTGCAGCCGCCGCCGCCCGGCACTGAGCCAAATTGGAGGTGGGAGTTCACGTGCCCGACTGCTCGTCCGTCAGGCCCGGGCTGCGCCCATCTGTCCTCGCCGGGCAGCGCTGCCCTGCCGGAACATCCGAGGAAGGGGCGGCAGGAGCGCAGGCAGCGGCGGCCGAAGCACCGGCAGCACCGGCTGCACCGGCGGCGGCGGCAGCAGCAGCAGCAGCAGGACGCCGAGCTCCGCCCCCGCCGCGCCCCCGCCCAGCCTTCCGTCCCGCGGGAAGGGGTTGCGGCGGGGCTGCTGCGGGCCAGGGGGCAACCGGGCACCCGCTGGCGGGTTGCGGTGCTGCTGCAAGGAGACCGGCAGCAGGTGGAAAGTTCAGAAGGAGATTAAGACTGAGGGCTGGGGCCCAGAGCAGCTCCGCAGGAATTCTGGCCCTTGCTCCCACCCACAGGTCACCAGACTCCATGGCCGTGTCTTGACTCCAGCACACGGTTTCCAGAAGAGCCAAGTGCAGAGATCTGAAACCAAGGAGACCATCCGAGGTTTTTTCGGTGTTGCAAAAAGTATGATACCCCGCGTATTTGGAGATGGCATTGCTGACAGTGTTCCTGCCCCCTGCCCCCTACCGCCCCAATTCCCCTCTCCTGGACATGGAGGGCTTTGGAAAGCGTCCACTCAGAGTGGCTCCAGCAACACTGAATGGATGTGTAGTATAGTTAGCAGCTGCAGATGGTGCAAATGAAACTGAAAAGAGGTAACGTTCACCAACTATTTGTTAGCAGGCACTGTGCAAAATGCCTTATATGCAGCCTCTGTAATTCTCTTAACGACCCAATGAAGTGAGTGATATTCTCTACTTAACTGATGAGAAAACTAAAGCTTCAATGATTTAGACACTTTGCTTCAGGTCACATAGTAGTAACTGCGTAACTGGAATTTAACACTGCAAAAGAGATCCTGTCACTCATGGGGATCACCTGGGGATCTTGTTAAAATGTAGGTTCTGACTCAGTAGGCCTGGGGTGGACCTGTGAATCTGTGGTTACTAACAAGTTCACAGAGGGTGTTTGTGCTGCTGGCCAAGGGGACCAAATTTTCTAAACCACCAAGTCAGGGATTTTAATAAATTTCTTCTTTTATGCCAGCTCTAGATGATTGATTGCAACTTCCTAAAGGTAGGTTAAGAAGGATTCTAAGGCTGTGTCTTGGCTCTTGCACAAAGAATGTTGCCGTCCATTGTGTGTGTGTTAGTTGCTCAGTTGTATCTGACTCTTTGTGACTCCATGGACTGTAGCCTGTTGGGCTCCTCCATGGAGTTCTCCAGGCAAGAATATTGGAGTGGGTAGCCATTCCTTTCTCCAGGGGATCTTCCCAACCCAGGGATCAAACCCAGGTCCCCTGCATTACAGGCAGATTCTTTACCATCTGAGCCACCAGAGAAACCCACTAGCCATGTCCAGTTTGGTTAATAGGGGGAAGTTTGTGACAAGTATCCCAGCAGGCCACTTCTACAACTTCTAAAATAACATGTTGGTTATTGAGAATGATCATGGTGTAACATGTAAGGATGGATGTCTTCATTCCACACCCAACCCTTGTTAAGAAAGCCTTAAGTTAAAGTTTTACACTTCACGTTTACATAACACAAAACACTTTACAAAATGCTCGTATGAATAATTTCGTCTGTCTTCATAATGACTGTAAGGCAGGTATAATTTTAGTTTACAGGAAAGGAAACTGAGGTAGAGCAATTTTCTCGATATTACACAACTAAAAACATGTGATAGGGGCTAGATTGTGACAGCCTAGCTCAGGGCTTTTTAAAAAAATTATTAAACTACTGTATTAGTTTCCTGTTAGTCGCTTAGTCATGTCTGACTCTTTGTGAACCCATGGACTGTAGTCTGCCAGGGTCCTCTGTCCATGGATTCTCCAGGCAAGAATACTGGAGTTGGTTCCTGTTCCCTTTTCCAAGGGGTCTTCCCAATCCAGGGATCACACCCAGGTCTCCTGCAGTAGTTTTCTCCTGTTGCTATAACAGATTGCCACAAATTTAGTGGCTTAATACAACACAAATTTATTATTTTATAGTTTTGAGGTACAAAGCCTGAAAATTGGTTTTATTGGGCTAAAATCAAAGGTTCATCAGGGCTACGCATTCCTTCTGAAAGCTCTAAGGGGAGACTCTGTTCCTTACTGTTCTTTGCTCAGTTTCTAGAGGCATCTGCCTTTCTTGGCTTGTGACCACATCACTCAGACCTCTTTTATCCTCTGCCCTGACTCTGACTATCCTGCATCCCTCCTCTATAAAGTCTCTTGTGATTATTTTGGGTTAATCCAGGTAACCCAGAGTAATATCCCCATCTCAAAATCCTTAATTTATTCATATCTGCAAAGGCCCTTTTGTGATGCAAGGTAACATAGTTAGAGGTTCCAGGGATTAGCTATTTTGGTAGGATCATTATGTCTACCAAAGCTTCACTTCGTACTTATCCTATAGTTTCTACTATATTTTACTCATCCATCTCTTCTACTTGATTTCTCAGACTGCTGGGAAGTTCTTTCAATGCAAAAATTCACTTGAAAGTCATTCAAGAGATAATAACAAATGTATACTGGCAAGAGAAATCCCAAGGCTATGAAATAGCCAAGAGGATGGCTAGGATTGTGGTAATGAAGTGGACACATAGGATTAGGAGGTGCTTAATTGTCTGAATGGAACTGAGGTAATCCTCAAGGCAAGTCCTAACTACAGTTATACGCTCACTTTAGCAATACAGAATTTTAAAAAAAAAATTCTGATTCTCAAAACCCATACAAAATTCAGTATAACACCAAATTCCAAAGCATAATAACTATCAGAGTGATGATAAATAGTATGACAGTACATGAAGCAAAGCCAAATCATATCATTGAATACCTCAAGGAATTTATAGAAAGACTGACATACACAAGTTTAAAATATCACTAGGAACACAGGGTTTGTGGGAAATGAAAATAATAAAGGATTTGAACAGAAGAAAGAATAGGAGAAGCAATGTGAGTCGGTACATGATTAATTGCCAAGTGAATTAAAGTGAAAATTTTATTTGGAAGTTAGGTTTATACAGGGGAGTGGAGATAAAGCTAAAAATGTAGATTAGAAAATTGTTTTGTAAAGCATCTTAAATGTCAAGTTATGGAGTTTAGACTTAACCTGAAATTTTAATGACAGTAACAATACCTTATGTCCACATAATGCCGAGTAATTTACCAAGCACTTTTTACATATTTTCAGTTATTTGACTTCTTCTCCTCTGACCCTGGAGAAGCAGGCCAATGTGTTCACAAACACACAAACACATATACACTTCATGCCATAAGGAGAAGGAAATACAGCCTTCCTATCAAAGATGTGTTCTCATCCACTCTATATTGCAATAGCAGCTCCCTCCCCCCTTACCTGTCATTCTTCCTGTCCTCTCTAGCCTGCTTTATGTGTTTCCAGCAGACTTCCTACTGCATTCTGATAGAGTATATATTTGTTTATTGTCTCTCTACTGTTTTTGAGGGCAGGGACTTTGCCTCTTTCACTGCTAAATCTCTGTCACCTAAAACTACACTCATTTTTTAAGGGCTCGATAAATTAAATGAATCATTACTCTAATTTATAAATCAGGAATCAAAATGCCAGATATTTAAATAAACTTTGTGATGTCCCACAGCTGTTCAGAGCCTTTACCAAGACTAAAGCCCAGGGTCCAGCCCAATGCTTTTTTGATAGTCTGTTTCCTTTCTGAGTGAAAGGTCTTAGGGGCATTTAAACAGGGGCAGTACTATATTTTAAAAGGATAAGAATTTGAGATGAGAATCTTCTCTAAATGTCACATCTTGCCTAAAAACTTCATCATTTTAGCTGGATCGGCTAGAAGTATCGACAGGAGGAAGCTAGCAACGGTTGATTCTTGAGGACTCCCATCACTGCTGCATTAGTTGGCGCTGAGTCATACTGTAAGTTGTTTTGTAATTGTTCTTTGGTTAATTCTTATGTGTGTATCTTGACACTTTGTATTACACTTTTTGGCTCAGGGACTGTAACTTTTTTTTTATATCCATGCATTCTGCCCAGTTGTTATTCTTTAGTTGCTAAATTGTGTCCAATTCACTTGCAAACCCATGGATTGTAGCTCACCAGGCTCCTCTGTCCATGGGATTTCCCCGGCAAGAATATTGGAGTGGGTTGCCATTTCCTTCTCCAGGGGATCTTCCCGACCCAAGGATCAAACCCACGTCTCCTGTGTTGGCAGGCGGATATTTTTACCACTCATCCTCTAGGGAAGCCCATTCTGCCCAGTACTGGACTCTAAATCGATTTTATCACTGCATGGTTACAAAATGGCTGCCGTTGCCTTAAAAACCATATCCTTACAAACCACATTCAAGGCAGTGTAGGAGATTCAAATATGCTACCGCAAAATATGCCGCTTTGGCATAAGAATTATTTTGAACCAGAGGAAAATGAGAACCAACAGATGCAGACTAAAAGCAGAAACTTAGAGAAGTGAGGATTACCCTAAATCCCCTCTCCTGGGATAGTGTAAGGCCATGAAGAGGACAGAAACCTTGCACCATGATGCGTCTGCAAACAAATCTTACTAAAGTAATTCTTCCCTTTCATTAGGTTTCCCCCTAGTATTTGCCTTCCCACAGCTTGCTGCCTCTAAAAGCCTAAACCCCCTTTTCCTTTGTCTTGACATTTCTATACAAGTTTATTGTTTTTGTGACAATGCTCTATAAGCCCAAGTTCTAACTGCCCCTTTGAGTTACTCATCACTGAGTTTCTTCTGCATCTATGCCTGATGTACATACATATTAATAAACTCTATTTCTTTTTCGCTTATTAATATGTATTTTCACTGTCTAATATGCAGGGCCTCAGTTAGAGACCCTAGGAGGATAGAGGGGAAAAAAGCTTTTTCTCTCCTCTATAATAGAAAGAAAAGGATTCCACTGGAAAAGGGAACATCTTCTTTTTATGGAGGAAAAAATATTTTCCAGAACCCACTCTCCTATTTCCAAGTCATTGACCAGAATCCAGTCACCAGATCACCCAAGGAGTTTGTGAAAGTGAGCATGTAGCCAGGAAGAACAAGCTTGCTTTGGTTTTTCTAGGCTAGATGTCCCGGTGTTGCAAGTGAAACCGAGGTTCTCTTATTAAGAGAGAAGGAAGGTAGGCTCTAGGATCAGCCCTTAGCAGTTTCTTTCACAGAGAAATCAGTATAGAAATACTAGAGACTCACTGTAAGGTCCATTTTGATGTTGCCTGACTGCCTTTCGATTTCTGGCAAGTCATGTTAAGTCAGGCTCCTACCTATTTTCCTTCCTTTCTCCTTCTCTCTCTCTCTCTCCCG